CCTGTGATGAGGAGATTGTGAATAAAGAATGAATATTAGTCGAATTTAAAATAAACATTTGAATGTTAGGTGTGCGTCAGGGAGCGTCATCAGTGGCGCACGAGATGCGGTGATGATATAAGTGACGTTGTTGCATTTTAATGTTTTGTTAGTCTAGCCCACGAGACGGGCCGCTGCTGCGTTATTCATTCAAAATATTAGAGAAATATAGAGGCTCAATGCGGAGAAGATCTTGATTAGGTTAAAACCGAAACCAAGCCATTCACACAGAACGCATATTCAGCATATAAATAAACAAACATATTTATATTTGTATGTGTATAAATCAATCAATAAATAAATAAATCAATGAATGATTCAACACATTAAAAACACATCTATATTTATTTGGATATATAAATGAATTAATAAATGAATGAATCAATGAACCAATAATTCAACTGACTTTGTCCCAATTAAAAGAAACAAATGAAAAGCAAAACATTCAGAGTCCAAACATACAGGATATTATTTTACACATTTATAAATGATGTCTTATGTCTTACAGCATAGTTGCTCTGAGCTCCATAGTGCAGAGGTGTTGCTCCCTGACTGTCTGATGGGATCATCCCAGACTTGTTCCTCTCCAACAGAAGGTGTACAATCTTTGCATGACCTACACAGTCACATACAAACCAGTGTTAGCATCTACACTTATAGCAAATGATTTCAATTAAAAATAATTACTTTAAGCAGTCAAATTCCGCATATGTGTATGAGTATAAACGTGTGTACCCAGCAGTGCCGCCCAGTGCAGTGGCGTCCTGAACAGGTTGTCATAAGCTGTCACACTGCAGCCCTCGTATGATGTCAGCACTTCAACCACCGCCTCATTCCCATCAGCCACTGCAAAGTGCAGAGGTGTGCGTCCCTCATAATCCTGCCAGTTCAGCAGGGACTCGGTGGGAGCAGCTTCCTACAAAACACACAAATACTGAAGTTACTGTAATTGTATTATTTGTATGTGTGGGGAGAAATAGTGAGGTAACAAGTGTGGACTCACCAGGATACAACGTACTGTACGTGTAGCATTGGGGTGTTTGTTATGTGCCGCCCAGTGTAAAGGGATCTTGCCCTCACTGTCTGGGATCCCGATGTTTGAATCGTGCTTGATCAGCAGCTTAACATGCTCGGGGTGATTGTAGAAGGCACTCCAGTGCAGCGCTGTCTGCTGTAGAACAAACAACATTCAATTTCAAAGATTACATTTCCAGTTTTACTGTTCACTCGTGTTACACTGCGGCTACAAAGCTGCTTCACGGCCTTCAAGGAAATTGGGGCTTTAAATGATCACAGCGAGCAGGCTGTCAATGAACTGCAATCAAGAAAATAACATTATGGAGCTTTTCCAAGAGCACAAATAAAGAAGTCCTTTGCTCTTCATCATATCACATCAAACTAGTCAGCCAGCTTCCTCTGGGCTTAGAGTGTCAAGATCTTCTTGTCCAATACCACCAGGCCTAGGCCACGAATATGTGGATTTTTTCACATTTCTTTCTGTGCTGATTTTAGGTAAAATGTGTTTAGCAGAGCTGGTGGTACTACACTCTTTTTAGGTGCTGAAAACATAATAAGTTAGTCAAAATACTCAATAGACCATACAAAGGTATATGTATATTTAACTGAATATGTAGAATGACGGGAAGTTCAACAAGTGCCCATTTACAGAATGTCTTCCAGAATGTCTTAATTGCCACTTGAAATCTCTGAATTGTTTTCAATTTAAATAATATTTTAAACAATACATTATATGTACATGTAAATGAATTTAAACTTTAAATTTTATAAATAAACTTTATAACTTTAAATTAAAATATAAAATTAAAAGTAGAACTTAAGTTGAATAAAATTTAAAACCAAAAGTAAATGAATTTAAACTTAAATGTACACATTAAAACTTAAAAATGTAAAATGAAAATTTAAACATAAAATTATATATTGCAACTTTAAGTTGAGTAAAACTGAAATATAAACTTAATTTGAATGTATTAATTATAATTAAATGAAAGAGTACAATTTAAACAAACATTCCAACATTAAGTTGAATAAAATTTTACATTTAAATACATTTTTATGCATTATAGTTTTAAATAAAAATTTTAAATTTGAATCTTAAAATTAGAACTTTAAGTTGAAGCTGTAAACAAAAATGCAAACTTAAATGTATACATTAAAACTTTAAATTAAAATAAATTTTATTTAAATAAAAAAAACTTTACATTATATATTATATACTTTCTCATATAATATATATACTGTACATACAACTTTCTCATAATTCCAATTATATATTTTGCAAATGTTAATTGTCAAGCGCCTGAGAAATTTTGAATTGATGCAGGTTTGCAATCTCAGCTGCACACATAAAATCAGTGTTTGTCTATCTATCTATATCAGTTGCAGATTTACAATGCCTTTTTTGTGCGTGTCAGGCAACTTTGGCTCTCTCAGTTTGAGACTCCATCCAAAATCCATCCTCATCAATAAAGCTAATATTTTTGCCTTCCGTTTGATAAATTGCTTGAGCTTTTCCTCATTTGTGAGTCACTTTAGATGAAGTGTCTGCTTAATTATTACATGTAAATATATGCTGGTCTCCAGCTTTTTAACAAGCTTTACCAGCTAAAAATTCTTGCTAAACCATAAAGACGGTTTGCTCTGCAGTTTGATTCCAAATTCAAAAAGTTTACCTAAAACATACAGGCCCTTCTCTCTTCATCAATCACTCAAGTTTCCCCAGCCCCAAAACGCCCAAACAGCCAATGTGGACAGTGAAGACTGAAGACGCACTAGATGAGCTATTTTCTGCATCTGGCCACAGAACAAGCCTCATCACGCGAAATCATGATTCTGCTTATCAAATTATTACAAAACCAACAGACGGATGAAGGCCTGCAAACAAAACCTTATGCGACTCAATGGAAGCACTGATACAACCACAGTGCGCGCACACACGCACACACTCATGTTAGCGTAATCACAACCATACACACACACACACACACACACACACACACACAGAATAATGATTTAAAACAGGAGCCTTAATAACCCTAGTAGCTTTGAGCAGTTTGTCTGTGGAATGAGATTTTAAATGACGGCGTATCTAAAGAGTTGCTGTATGTGCGCAGATCATCGGAAAGTAAACTGGGGTGAATGTTAACAGTAATTGGAACCAAAGTGAATAAAGCTGCATGTGGTCTGGTAATCTGGAGCAGTTGATAGCAGTGTTTCCCAGGAAAGCACAGGGCCCACATACGCATCTCTCCAAACTCTTCTTTTGCTCTATGGTGACCAGCACATATCAACTTCTCTAGTCTAAAGCTTTTGTGTTTACTAATGCTAGCTACAATACTATAGCTGTTACTATTACTTGTATTATAGCTCATACAGTAATGTTACATATATTACAGTAAAGTACAACAGCCCTGCCAATCATTATGAAACTTTCCAGTTTCATGAAAGTCCGTTTCTGCCCGTTTCACTGTGACTTTAAATCTTACAATGTGACTTATATCTCACTATTACAACATTATTTCTTATTTATTTATTTCCAAATTATTTATTATATTTATATCTAATTAATTTGTTTCTAATTTTAGGATCAAAAATGACGAAGACATTCAGAATGTTAGAAAAACTTTATATTTAAAATAAACCTGTAATTTCGAATGTCGTCAAGCAATCCTGAAAAATTGTTTTATCTTGGTTTCCACAAAAATATTAAGCATCAGTTGTAACACTGATAATGAGATTAAATGTTTCTTGACCAAATTTCTGAAGGATCATGTGACACTGAAGACTGGAGTAATGGCTGATGAAAATTCAGCTTTGCCATCACAGAAATAAATAATATTTTAAAACATATTAACATCGATAAAAGTTACTTTAAATTGTAATAATATTTCACAATATCACGGTTTTATCTGTATTTTTGATCAAATAAATGCAGCTATATATGTTGACTTTGTTGCAAATGTTATTTCTTGTAACTGCAACTTTATATCTCACAATTGCAACTTTATCAAAAAATGTAACTTTTTTTGTAATTGTGACATTATTTCTCATAAATGTGATTATTTCTTACAAATGTGACTTTGTTTCTTGCAAATGTATTTTCATAATTGTGATTATATTTCTTATTTTAAGATTTATCTTACAACTATCTGCTTTATTTTTTACTCCGAGGTGAAAACAGGCTTCCATGCATATTGTCTTTGCTGTGAAATTGGGTTGGTTTGTATTCTCTCTGCGATTCGTGGAAGACGTCTTTGGCATGCAGCGAGTGAGTGATTGTCACTTCACACACACACACTTAAGGTTAACATTGCGATGAGACCCTGAGCCTTGTAGGCGCCTGGCAAGCTCTCGCAGCAGCTCTGAGAAAATATCTTTTATTAGACCATTTAAACAGAGCTCATATCCTCCAGAGAAACATCAGACTTGCCAATAGACTGACAAATGATCTCAGATGATATTTCATCTGCATTTTACTAAAAATCATTCAAAATAATACAATAAAATGATGAAAAAAGTACTTAGTGTCACCCAGAGACGTTATTCTTGGGCCGCGGTTTGGGGTAGAGACAGCTGTTTATCCATCTAAAGGGTCTGACTGTGTCTGAGCGCGAACAACCCTCCCCTCTCATCAAGTATCCTCCCAGGCCTCCTTAGCTCCAGTGTAAAACATTCCAGGGAGAGCCCTCGTGTGTGTGTGTGTGTGTGTGTGTCAGGGTTCTCAGTCTCTATTCCCAGCCCAATTAGAGTGTTAATCCCTGAGCTACAGCTCTTATTGATCTAGATGTCAGAGTGTTAACCATCAATTCCGTTCCTCCCCGTCTTCCTCTCCTCACACTCTTCTCCTTTCCTCTCCACTGTGCTCTGCTTTTCAATCCTCTTCTCGTCTCATTCAAACTGTCCCGTTTATTAAGTCAAAATAAGGTAACACATACAAGCGCTCTCATATTCAAATCTTTAGGAGAAATGTGTCAACACCACAAACACTAGAGGGCAGTAAACCGATGAAAATTCAGCTTTGCCATCACAGAAATAAATAATATTTTAAAACATATTAACATCGATAAAAGTTACTTTAAATTGTAATAATATTTCACAATATCACGGTTTTATCTGTATTTTTGATCAAATAAATGCAGCTATATATGTTGACTTTGTTGCAAATGTTATTTCTTGTAACTGCAACTTTATATCTCACAATTGCAACTTTATCAAAAAATGTAACTTTTTTTGTAATTGTGACATTATTTCTCATAAATGTGATTATTTCTTACAAATGTGACTTTGTTTCTTGCAAATGTATTTTCATAATTGTGATTATATTTCTTATTTTAAGATTTATCTTACAACTATCTGCTTTATTTTTTACTCCGAGGTGAAAACAGGCTTCCATGCATATTGTCTTTGCTGTGAAATTGGGTTGGTTTGTATTCTCTCTGCGATTCGTGGAAGACGTCTTTGGCATGCAGCGAGTGAGTGATTGTCACTTCACACACACACACTTAAGGTTAACATTGCGATGAGACCCTGAGCCTTGTAGGCGCCTGGCAAGCTCTCGCAGCAGCTCTGAGAAAATATCTTTTATTAGACCATTTAAACAGAGCTCATATCCTCCAGAGAAACATCAGAGGGTGCAGAGCTCCCCTGCTGCTTTATGGCATATATACAACCACAAACACACACGCACACATACACACACCGCCTAACCTCACGTTCACCCCGATCCCCACCCAAGCCAGCTATAGACAAGCCGCTGAGTGTGTGAGCATGTGTAGTTTGTGTTTGCGTTTGGTACCTTATTCCTGTCCTGTGTGTCCACCTCACCAGGTGCCATGTGCTTGAGGAGCAGAGACAGAGGTTTGGAGCTCGAGTGTCGGGTTGCCAGGTGTAATGGGGTCATTTCTTCCAGATCCTTTAACCGCCAATCGGCGTGGCGTGACAGTAAGAGTTTCATGAAGCGCACATTGCCCTGAAATGCATGTGTACATGCAAAAAAACATAATCAAAAACTTTTAACTTTAATTAGACAACTGTCTGTTTGTAAGGATTGGAGGATCACAGACTAATAGATCACAGTCCCAAGCATGAATAACAATCCATTTACCCTGAATTTTTATGTTTTCAAATTAATTTATTGCACTATTTAACTATAATTAAGTCAGAACTGTTGCCAAGTCATTAGGGGAGCTGTGAAGACTGATTGAAACCAGTAATACTTAAGTTCTCCAGTCTATTTGACTTATCCATTAAAAGAACCGGCTCATAAGAGTTATTCATTCATGAATCAGACAACACCCGTAAACCCACAACCATTTAAAATTTAAGTCTGGCTCCAGTCAAGGCCCAAAAGCATCTAATACTATAATTTTAGTTTGCTTAGCTTTACTCCAGTGGAAAATCTGACACATATGCTCCATATGCGTTCTCATATCAGGGATATCATAACGTAATATGCAAAGGCAGCTATTTGTAAGTTAATTTCCCCAGAAAATGTGACTCTGAAAACTGGAGTAATGGCTGCTGAAAATTCAGCTTTGCCATTACAAGAATAAATGACATTTTTAAAATATATTCAAAAAGAAAAAAGTTCTTTTAAATAGTAGTTTCACAATAGTGTTTTTGTTTAAAAATACAACTAGAACATATGATTTCAATTCAGTTAGATTTACTCTCCATTTTTATATTTCTTGTGGAAAATGTGAAGTCTGTAATTTTTTTCTATGGAAGAAAATTTACTCCTATTTGGGATACCATAACTTAATGTTTGTGCAAATTTACACATTTCACCTTTAAAGTTCAAATGAAACGAAAATTCCCTCTATCTGTTCTCTAAATGCATGTTATTGATCTTATTGTGATAATTATTGCATTTTTTAGACCTCATAATTATTAATCAAAATGTAATCTCAGTCTTCCAGTGAAATTACAGACTTCTCTCTCTGATGACGTATACTGGACTTCTCTAATCATTAAACCTTGCCCCTATCTTAAATTCAACTTCAAGCTTGCATTCAGATCTACCTCCATCCAACCAACAGCTGATGGATATAACCAAGTCCCCACCCTACTATTTTTCTTTATCAAAAACCTGTTTAACTTGGACGTTCAAAGAGGAGTCCGGCCAAACTGATCCTCACTGTCCCGCAGACGAGACTCTGCTGCGGACACAAAGCACACATACATATAAGAGTCAACCATAACCTGTTATTGAAATCTCTCTTTAATATAAAAAGAAGTGTTGGTGAGTGATATATTGAATATGCATGGTACATTTACGATGTTTTTTTTCTGCGACGATGTAAAACTAAGCAACAATGCAATGATTTTAATGTTTTTTTTTGTGTGGTTAAGTTTAATAATAACACTACCCAGGTGATGTACTGCATCTTTAAGGATTTGTGCGAACCAGTGTACACTTTGCTATCCCATAAGGCCATTGGAGTTAAATTAAAAAATATGAGAATTGTGAGATGAATAGGTTCTTTTATAGTTTTTTTTTTCATAAATTGCTAAATGGTACTTGTTGGTACCCAAATAAATGATGTACATGGTTGTAGTTAGTACATCATAGGTCAAAAAACATACAGGTCTGAGGACAATACAACATGGCAGATGTAACATGTCAGACAATATATTTATATTCAAGAACGGCCAGCAAATAAGGTCTTCTTATTCAGTAAGAATTCAGCACATTCTTTAAAAACATGGTGTGTAGTATAAATGAACATCTTTAAACGGAAATTAAACTGTATTTTAATTCTCATATTTAAAATTTTGAACATACTTTGCAACATTGACTGGTTGAATAAAATACAATCCTTTCAAAGTGAACATATATATTAAATATAATCAAAAGGATGAAAAATATGTTTACATAGACTACCATTCAAAAGTCTATGGTCAGTTTTTTTTAATTGTTTTTGCAGAAATGTATATTTTTATTCAGTAAGGATGCATTAAATGAAACAAAATTTCAAATAAATGCTTCAAGAATGCTGCAAAAAGTGTCATGATTTCAACAAAAATATTAAACAAGACAACCGTTTTCAACATTAATAACATGAAAAAATGTTTTCTGAGCACCAAATCAGCTTATTAGAATGATTTCTGAATCACTACTGAAAATTTAGCTTCACCATCACAGGAATAAATTAATTAAATTACGTTTTAAAATAGATTCAAATAGAAAAGTTACGAAAACAGTTATTTTAAATTGTAAACATATTTCAAGTATTAGTTGTATTATTTGTATTACTGTTTCTATGGTATTTTTTTAGCATAAGAAACTTTTAAATCACTAACTGTTATATATGCCATAATCTTACTGATATTACCAATCACAAACTTTTGAACGGTGGTTTGTTTTTGAAGATATATCGCGCGCATGGAATACAAAGTGAAGAGCATGGAGTTTTTTGAGCACTGATATGTGATACCTGTGATCAGTCTCTGTAAGGTGTTTTTGTCTCCATTCACAGCGGCCGCATGCACCTGAGATGGATTCTGGGGGATCAGCATCGCCTGGTGCACACACACACACACACACACACACACACACACACACACACACACAAACATGTTTGCATATGTGGTTTACAGGGAATCTCCATAGGCGTAATGGTTTTTATACTGTACAAACTGTATTTTCTTTCCCCTAACCATACACCTAAACCTACTCCTCACAGAAAACTTTCTGCAATTTTAGATAAAAAAAAAAAAAACAGTATGTTTTTTGAGCCATTCGTTTTACGAGCACACAGGAAGTATCCTCATAAACCATGTTCTCGTTGTAATACTTATGTCATCATTATACACATTTGTGCATTTCCTCATAAACCATATAAACCTGTACACACACACCAGCAGTCATGCAATGTGCTCACTCAGAGGCCAAACATCAAGATTACAGGCCTACAATCTAAACTCACTCTTTCTGAAATGAGCTTTGAATGGTGACCAAACCAACCATTACATCCACTCGCAGTGGTTCAGCCGGAATGCTGGGTAATCCTTAGACAGGAAGTAGCAGGGAGGGGGCAAATCCCCCACTGGGACACACCCTGCCCAACTCATCTCTTATTCATGCTCATCAATATTGCAAGAGATTAAAAAAAAATCAATTACATACACAAATCCACGATAAATGTGTGTGAAGCGTGTTTATGACCGCAGAAATTACTTTTTCAATGAGCGCTATAACCCATTCATGCAATTCCCTTTTTCTTTGCCATTCTTTCCCGTCACACACACACACACAACTAATTAGCCGCTCTGTTCTCACGCACCTCGTGAGAGGGTAATTGGGGTTAGTTAATGCAGACTCATAAAACTACTAAGAGTTACAACTACTTCAGTAGCATGTGTGTTTGTGTGTGTATGCTCTGATTAAAGCCTTTAAATGCTCTCCAATACACTATAATTCAGCTTTATATGACTCTACGTAGTTTAACGAAGGAAATCAGACATCACAAAAAAATGCACACACAGTCTGCTTTCGGAATAACAATGTGGAAAAAAGGCAGCAGGGGGATGGATGCCTTTGAGAAAGGTGCGCGCGTGAGGGAAGAGCTCTATCTGTACGTGTACTTTCAAGCGTTTTTCGTCCGACAGAGTGTTAGTGTGTGTGTGTGTGTACGTGATCGCGTGGGAAGTCATTTTCCATGAGAGAAGGTTTTTATGGAGGCTTCGCTCATATCGACCACAAGCTTTCCTCAATTTCCTCCAGACTAGGACGCACACATACATGCAAGCACACACACTGGGGCTTAATAACAAAAATGCCTGGCATACAAATCAAACGACTTTCTCTCAAACGCAAAATAAAATTAAGACTTCGTTAAAAAGGAGCTGGTAATCTTCAACACGTTAGTGTGGTTTTAAATCAATTTTATAAAATTGAGAGAGGAAATCAAACATAAATTTTAGTGTCATTCTACTGATGATCATTTGAATGGGGCATACTTATTTTTGACTAATTTAATTAATAATCTTTGCTATCGTAGATTATTAAAGCTTCAAATTCAAGTGCAAATCAACTCAGCTACCTAATAATTCAATTATATAACTAATAACTAATAATAATTAAAAAAAAATACAGCATCTGTCATATCAACTGTTTTTATACCTTACAGAAATACTCAAGTGAAAATGATTTGTATAACTGTTAATTTAAAAAAGTTTCAGACAAAGTAAATAAATATGTGTTGTAGAGATACAAAATAACACTGATTTAGACTTTCACATTTTTCCATTGAAACTCTGGAACACATTAAGGATTCATGTAATGTGCACAAAAAGGAGAGCACTTCATCTTAAATGTGTGTGTGTGTGTGTGTGAGTGTGTGTGTGTGTGTGTGTGT